GGTGGATGGATGGATAGTAGGGGTGGATGAATGGATGATAGATAGATGGATGGATAGTAGGGGTGGATGGATGGATGATAGCTGGATGGATGGATAGTAGGGGTGGATGAATGGATGATAGATGGATGGATGGATAGTAGGGGTGGATGAATGGATGATAGATAGATGGATGGATAGTAGGGGTGGATGGATGGATGATAGCTGGATGGATGGATAGTAGGGGTGGATGGATGGATGATAGCTGGATGGATGGATAGTAGGGGTGGATGATAGATAGATAGATAGATAGATAGATAGATAGATAGATAGATAGATAGATAGATAAATCTTTATAGAAGATGAACCCTCGTTGTCTGAGCCACACACCAGTATTCACAGACATAAGTCAGGACGTCTGAGCCCAGTGTTCTTGTAGGATGACTGACATGAGCTCGTACAGTTCCCTCGGCCCGGCGCACATGTTTATACAAGGAACAGCCATCCCTTGTGCCAGCTTATCAGGGGGAACAATGACAATTGTCCGGGAGAATCTGTCCCAGCTCTTCTCTGGGGTTGGTCAGGAACGATGTCTTTGGGAACCCCAGAGAGCCCCCCATACACACACACAATCTCACGTCTGGGGCCGGTCCAATCAGAGCGCGGGGTCTGTGTGCTCAGAGTGTAAACACTACAGGCAGCAACACACGGCAGCAACTCAGTGCAGGTCATAGATTGTCTGCCTGTCCACATAGACACAACCATTACCACTGACATTCGTGGTGAAAAATACAGCATGTTGCAGTTTTCATCCGGCTGGTCTCTGTATTTGTCCTTCTACTTTGTACTGATTGAGAAGCAGAGGAAACACACAAGGGTCGTTTTATTCCCTAAATAATCAGCTTCCAGTCTTTCATTTCAGGTTTTAGAAGCAAGAGACAAAGCCGCGAGAAGGACTGAAACACCGCATAAAAGAAGATTAAAAAACTGGTTACAGGAAGATTAAAACCGCAACGTTGTTTTCTTTCAGCATCTGCAACTTACTATCAGGATAAAACAACACACACAGCCCAATGTTACTGTACACAGATACTGCGGATGTTAAAGGGTCCGGACAAACCATTTATCTCTCAGAGCGGGGGAGGATCAGAACCCATGTCATGTTTTTTATGTCATCCGTGGCTCTGATAGAGAGTTTCCTCTCAATGATTATCCGGTGACAACGGTTTCACCAGACAGGAAGTGAGGGGAAATCTGCAAGAGGGACACAGGCAGAATTAAGAAGCTGGATCTGTAGAAAGTGTTAAAGAGGAACTCCAGAAATTAAAAAAATGTACCCTTGTAGTGAGGCCGCCTGAGACTCGGACTGGAGCGCGCAGCGTAGACACAGGTAAGTATTAAACATGCAAGGGTTTAACAGGGGCGTCCCGAGGCTGGATGACACCCGGAGCGGTAACCGAGTGTCACCCCGCCGAGACGTCACCGCTCATGCGCGTGACGTCACCCCACCCATGTTGTCATCGCGCACGTGCGGCAGTCTTCTGATACCTGCCGGCGGCCATCTTGGTGATGGACGCCGACAGAGAGAGGAGGGGACAGTCACCCGGCGGGATAAGGTATGCCGCCGGGTCCCCTCCTCTCTCCTGATCCTGATCCATGACCGAGCGGCCCACTTTTCAGAGGGGGGTGACACCAAAATTACACCGCGCATGCGCATGACATCACCACGCGCGTGCGCGATGACGTCATCGCGCACGCGCGGCAGTCTTCTGATGTGCCGGCGGCCATCTTGGTGATGGACGCCGGCAGAGAGAGGAGGGGACAGTCACCCGGCGGGATAAGGTATGCCGCCGGGTCCCCTCCTCTCTCCTGATCCTGATCCATGACCGAGCGGCCCACTTTTCAGAGGGGGGTGACACCAAAATTACACCGCGCATGCGCGTGACATCACCACGCGCGTGCGTGATGACGTCATCGCGCACGCGCGGCAGTCTTCTGATGTGCCGGCGGCCATCTTGGTGATGGATGCCGGCAGAGAGAGGAGGGGACAGTCATCCGGCGGGATAAGGTATGCCGCTGGGTCCCCTCCTCTCTCCTCATCTCCTGCCAGTCATTTTGGTGTCACCCCTCCAATGGTGTCACCCGGGTGCGGGCCGCACCCCCCGCACTCTCCTTGTGACGCCACTGGGGTTTAATAACCTTTTAATGCCTGGACTCGGAGAGGAATGAAAATGTTTATAAATACCAAACTAAGTGTCAGCACCAGTAATAGGCATGAAATGGGATTTGGAAACATTGTAACATTGACATAAAATAAACATCCTGCGCTCCGTTTATTTTATTTGGCCACTCCCCCATCACGCCGCACATAGGATTGAATGCAGGACACCTGACATACATATATAAATCTTAGACCAGGCAGGTCGGCACGCTATTTTTACGCCCCTGCCTGCGTTGCACCTCCTACGGTCCCCAAAAGTGGCCGACAGATGCGTGGGCCGGATTATTATATACACTGAGTGGCCGGATTATTATATACACCGAGTGGCTTTTGGACCCCTAAAACGCGTTGGCTCTCTTGTCCTATTGATTATCTAATAAAAGACCACTCTGGGCTCCATTAGTGTCACCCCCTTACTTCTTTATATCTGGATATTCCTCGTGACCCCCCTCCTTTTCTTGGGGTTACATTGTCATAAGGGGGACAGACTCACCCAAGACGATCATCTACAACACCGATCATTGATAATAGAGGGTCAAGCACCTCTATTGTAATCCGAATTAAGAAGCTGCTGGCTGGGTTTCACACCTTCCACAATCCATTAAAGAATAACATTTTTTGATGTGTTACTTTGTTGCAGTTGGGGATTATCACTCACTTCCTGTCTGCTAAAACTGTTGTCACCGTGACAGTAAATAAGGGGAAATCTCTCTAGCGGTGTCCCAGGTAGCATTGAAAACATGGCAGGGGTTCTAACCCTTCCCAACTCTATTCAAGACTAAAAAAATGTTTACACTTTAAATAATGTTAAAAAAAAAGTTGGATGGTGCCAAAGAATTGCAGAGCGGAGATGAGCGCGGGGCCCCCCGTACAGTCCGTATAGGATATAGAGGTGGTCGGGCTCTCACCTGTGTATGCAGCCAGCAGGCAGAGCAGGGGAAGGAGAGCGGAGGAGCTGGAAGCCCGCGAGTCGCCCGGTCGCCGTGTCTTCATCTTGGTGGAAGAGCTCGCTCCCGGAGGTGATTTGCATGTTTTGTCCACGCTGGGCACGTCCCTCGGCACCACTTGGTGTCCCCGTGCCAACGTCCTCTGAATAGAGCCGACTCTGTTCTTTGTTCTCCGTCCTCTGCTGTCCTCCGCCGGCTCCTCTCCCCAGCAAACTCTTCCTAAAAAAAACACCAATAATGACTTTTATCCCGACAACGGAAACTGAGACATACAGGAGGACGCATGTGTCCGTGTTCAGAGACACCCCAGGGGCACACAGGAAGGGCGCTGAGCGGCAGGCGCTGGGGTGCAGAGATGGGGTGGGGCGGAAGTCGTGGATGAATAGAGCTGTCAGGCCGGTGTTGTGATCGAATGAAACGCGGATTTGTTTTGTTTAGAGGCCCCTCGTCTCATATCATTGCAGGGGACACCACATACATCACCACATGTACATCAACACATGTACCATCACATGCAATATACTTCCTGTAATAAAGACCGCTCACTGCTGCTCTCTCTCCTTGTGTAGGGTGACTAGTCTTGTCTCTGCCCCTTCCTGTAATAAAGACCGCTCACTGCTGCTCTCTCATTGTGCAGGGTGACTGGTCTTGTCTCCGCCCCCTTCCTGTAATTAAGACCAGTCACTGCCGCTCTCTCTCTTACTGGTCTTGTCTCAGCCCCCTTCTGTAATAAAGACGGGTGGTCACTCCCTCCTTGTGCAGGGTGATTGGTCTTGTCTCTGCCCCCTCCTGTAATTAAGACCAGTCACTGACGCTCTCTCTCTTACTCTCTCTTACTGGTCTTGTCTCAGCCCCCTTCTGTAATAAAGACGGGTGGTCACTCCCTCCTTGTGCAGGGTGATTGGTCTTGTCTCCGCCCCTCCTGTAATAAAGACCGCTCACTGCTGCTCTCTCTCATTGTGCAGCGTGACTAGTCTTGTCTCCGCCCCCCTCCTGTAATAAAGACCGGTCACTGCTGCTCTCTCTCCTTGTGCAGGGGGACTGGTCTTGTCTCTGCCCCCTCCTGTAATTAAGACCAGTCACTGACGCTCTCTCTCTTACTCTCTCTTACTGGTCTTGTCTCAGCCCCCTTCTGTAATAAAGACGGGTGGTCACTCCCTCCTTGTGCAGGGTGGTTGGTCTTGTCTCCGCCCCTCCTGTAATAAAGACCGCTCACTGCTGCTCTCTCTCCTTGTGCAGGGTGACTGGTCTTGTCTCTGCCCCCTCCTCTAACAGCTCTGCTCCTTGTACAGGATATGTACAGCGCAGTTTACATGACCGTGTCATCTCAGTCCAGGAAGTAGATGGTGATCTTGGATGATGGCGGAACAAAGATGGCGCCGTCCTTCTGGAGAGAAAATCAGATGGAGGCGTTGTCAGGGGGAGTCATGTGATCTCTGTGAGAGGTAATTCAGCTTTAAGGGTGAGAATGAGGTCAGAGGGTGTGGAGGACTAGACCAGTCCTTGAGATCAAGCGTCAGGCGCTGAAGTAGGGGCAGAAAGTTTAGAGAGTAAACCGCGGTCAGGTCCCTTGGGAGCTGGACTCCCAGATATTTAATTGAGGATTCGAACCACACATATGGGAAGTTATTCCGTAGGCGAGTAATATGGGAAGGAGGTAACATCTGAACAAGCACCTCACGCCGCCATGGTTAGGACACGCCCCCCGTGGAGGACTTTTTAACACTTTCAGTGCCGGGCTGTTATCATCACAACCAATGTACAGCTCACACCCTTCACCTCGGCTGTAGGAGACTGAGGCAGGGAGGGAGTGACGGATTGCTGGGAGGCCGCCCTGTCCCATTCACAGGGTGATTTGTGTCTGGGAAAGCACTGCGGGGGGCCCATTGTCCCATGTGGAGGCCGTCATTGCCACATCAGCCGATCTCTTCTGAAATACAAAACAACATCTATGGGAACTAACGAGGAGAGGCCGAGCCTCCCGTCCCTGGCTGGGACCAGAGATGATTTATAGAGAGAGGCCGAGCCTCCCGTCCCTTGCTGGGACCAGAGATGATTTACAGAGAGAGGCCGAGCCTCCCGGCCCTGGCTGGGACCAGAGATGATTTACAGAGAGAGGCTGAGCCTCCCGGCCCTCGCTGGGACCAGAGATGATTTATAGAGAGAGGCCGAGCCTCCTGTCCCTCGCTGGGACCAGAGATGGTTTATAGAGAGAGGCCGAGCCTCCCGTCCCTCGCTGGGACCAGAGATGGTTTATAGAAAGAGGCCGAGCCTCCCGCCCTCGCTGGGACCAGAGCTGATTTATAGAGAGAGGCCGAGCCTCCCGCCCCTTGCTGGGACCAGAGATGATTTACAGAGAGAGGCCGAGCCTCCCGGCCCTCGCTGGGACCAGAGATGATTTATAGAGAGAGGCCGAGCCTCCCGCCCTTGTTGGGACCAGAGATGATTTACAGAGAGAGGCCGAGCCTCCCGACCCTGGCTAGGACCAGAGATGGTTTATAGAAAGAGGCCGAGCCTTCCATTCCTCGTTGGGACCAGAGATGATTTACAGAGAGAGGCCGAGCCTCCCGACCCTCGCTGGGACCAGAGATGATTTATAGAGAGAGGCCGAGCCTCCCGCCCTTGTTGGGACCAGAGATGATTTACAGAGAGAGGCCGAGCCTCCCATCCCTCGTTGGGACCAGAGATGATTTACAGAGAGAGGCCGAGCCTCCCACTCTCGCTGGGACCAGAGATGATTTACAGAGAGAGGCCGAGCCTCCCGCTCTCGCTGGGACCAGAGATGATTTACAGAGAGAGGCCGAGCCTCCCGCCCTCGCTGGGACCAGAGATGATTTACAGAGAGAGGCCGAGCCTCCCATCCCTCGCTGGTAGAAAAAGGCCGAGCCCCCCGCCCTCGCTGGGACCAGAGATGATTTACAGAGAGAGGCCGAGCCTCCCATCCCTCGCTGGGACCAGAGATGATTTACAGAGAGAGGCAGAGCCTCCCGCCCTCGCTGGGACCAGAGATGATTTACAGAGAGAGGCCGAGCCTCCCGTCCCTCGCTGGGACCAGAGATGATTTACAGAGAGAGGCCGAGCCTCCCGTCCCTCGCTGGGACCAGAGATGATTTACAGAGAGAGGCCGAGCCTCCCGTCCCTCGCTGGGACCAGAGATGATTTACAGAGAGAGGCCGAGCCTCCCGTCCCTCGCTGGGACCAGAGATGATTTACAGAGAGAGGCCGAGCCTCCCGTCCCTCGCTGGGACCAGAGATGATTTACAGAGAGAGGCCGAGCCTCCCGTCCCTCGCTGGGACCAGAGATGATTTACAGAGAGAGGCCGAGCCTCCCGTCCCTCGCTGGGACCAGAGATGATTTACAGAGAGAGGCCGAGCCTCCCGTCCCTCGCTGGGACCAGAGATGATTTACAGAGAGAGGCCGAGCCTCCCGGCCCTCGCTGGGACCAGAGATGATTTACAGAGAGAGGCCGAGCCTCCCGTCCCTCGCTGGGACCAGAGATGATTTACAGAGAGAGGCCGAGCCTCCCGTCCCTCGCTGGGACCAGAGATGATTTACAGAGAGAGGCCGAGCCTCCCGTCCCTCGCTGGGACCAGAGATGATTTACAGAGAGAGGCCGAGCCTCCCGTCCCTCGCTGGGACCAGAGATGATTTACAGAGAGAGGCCGAGCCTCCCGGCCCTCGCTGGGACCAGAGATGATTTACAGAGAGAGGCCGAGCCTCCCATCCCTCGCTGGGACCAGAGATGATTTACAGAGAGAGGCCGAGCCTCCCGTCCCTCGCTGGGACCAGAGATGATTTACAGAGAGAGGCCGAGCCTCCCGTCCCTCGCTGGGACCAGAGATGATTTACAGAGAGAGGCCGAGCCTCCCGGCCCTCGCTGGGACCAGAGATGATTTACAGAGAGAGGCCGAGCCTCCCGTCCCTCGCTGGGACCAGAGATGATTTACAGAGAGAGGCCGAGCCTCCCGTCCCTCGCTGGGACCAGAGATGATTTACAGAGAGAGGCCGAGCCTCCCGTCCCTCGCTGGGACCAGAGATGATTTACAGAGAGAGGCCGAGCCTCCCGTCCCTCGCTGGGACCAGAGATGATTTACAGAGAGAGGCCGAGCCTCCCGTCCCTCGCTGGGACCAGAGATGATTTACAGAGAGAGGCCGAGCCTCCCGTCCCTCGCTGGGACCAGAGATGATTTACAGAGAGAGGCCGAGCCTCCCGTCCCTCGCTGGGACCAGAGATGATTTACAGAGAGAGGCCGAGCCTCCCGTCCCTCGCTGGGACCAGAGATGATTTACAGAGAGAGGCCGAGCCTCCCGGCCCTCGCTGGGACCAGAGATGATTTACAGAGAGAGGCCGAGCCTCCCGTCCCTCGCTGGGACCAGAGATGATTTACAGAGAGAGGCCGAGCCTCCCGTCCCTCGCTGGGACCAGAGATGATTTACAGAGAGAGGCCGAGCCTCCCGTCCCTCGCTGGGACCAGAGATGATTTACAGAGAGAGGCCGAGCCTCCCGTCCCTCGCTGGGACCAGAGATGATTTACAGAGAGAGGCCGAGCCTCCCGGCCCTCGCTGGGACCAGAGATGATTTACAGAGAGAGGCCGAGCCTCCCGTCCCTCGCTGGGACCAGAGATGATTTACAGAGAGAGGCCGAGCCTCCCGTCCCTCGCTGGGACCAGAGATGATTTACAGAGAGAGGCCGAGCCTCCCGTCCCTCGCTGGGACCAGAGATGATTTACAGAGAGAGGCCGAGCCTCCCGTCCCTCGCTGGGACCAGAGATGATTTACAGAGAGAGGCCGAGCCTCCCGGCCCTCGCTGGGACCAGAGATGATTTACAGAGAGAGGCCGAGCCTCCCGTCCCTCGCTGGGACCAGAGATGATTTACAGAGAGAGGCCGAGCCTCCCGTCCCTCGCTGGGACCAGAGATGATTTACAGAGAGAGGCCGAGCCTCCCGTCCCTCGCTGGGACCAGAGATGATTTACAGAGAGAGGCCGAGCCTCCCGTCCCTCGCTGGGACCAGAGATGATTTACAGAGAGAGGCCGAGCCTCCCATCCCTCGCTGGGACCAGAGATGATTTACAGAGAGAGGCCGAGCCTCCCGCCCTCGCTGGGACCAGAGATGATTTACAGAGAGAGGCCGAGCCTCCCGCCCTCGCTGGGACCAGAGATGATTTACAGAGAGAGGCCGAGCCTCCCATCCCTCGCTGGGACCAGAGATGATTTACAGAGAGAGGCCGAGCCTCCCGCTCTCGCTGGGACCAGAGATGATTTACAGAGAGAGGCCGAGCCTCCCGCCCTCGCTGGGACCAGAGATGATTTACAGAGAGAGGCCGAGCCTCCCATCCCTCGCTGGGACCAGAGATGATTTACAGAGAGAGGCAGAGCCTCCCGCCCTCGCTGGGACCAGAGATGATATACAGAGAGAGGCCGAGCCTCCCGTCCCTCGCTGGGACCAGAGATGATTTACAGAGAGAGGCTGAGCCTCCCGGCCCTCGCTGGGACCAGAGATGATTTACAGAGAGAGGCCGAGCCTCCCATCCCTCGCTGGGACCAGAGATGATTTACAGAGAGAGGCTGAGCCTCCCGCCCTCGCTAGAACCAGAGATGATATACAGAGAGAGGCCGAGCCTCCCGTCCCTCGCTGGGACCAGAGATGATTTACATAGAGAGGCTGAGCCTCCCGGCCCTCGCTGGGACCAGAGATGATTTATAGAGAGAGGCCGAGCCTTCCATCCCTCGCTGGGACCAGAGATGATTTACAGAGAGAGGCCGAGCCTCCCGGCCCTCGCTGGGACCAGAGATGATTTATAGAGAGAGGCCGAGCCTTCCATCCCTCGCTGGGACCAGAGATGATTTACAGAGAGAGGCCGAGCCTTCTGTCCCTCGTTGTATTGTGCAAATAGAGGCGAAAACGAACGTTCTTAGTATATTTTTTCAGGTAGAATGTAGTGTGATGTAGTACAGGATTGTGGCCACTAGGTGGCGCTGATGAGCATGGGATCTTCACCGGCATTTGCAAGGTGAATGGCTGTGCGAATTGTTTATAAATAGACCCCTTAAGGTTACCCGTCATCAGATATATTGCTTCATAGTATTGATTCCAGGTATTTATTGTCCTTGGTAAGTACCTGTGCTGTACCTGGCACTGCCCCTAGTCAATGGCCATGTCCCTAATAACCATCACTGGCCCTGCTGGCACCACTGCTCTCCTTATACCTGGCACTGTCCCTGGAAACTAGCACCAGCCATCTACGCCCCCAGTAACTCCTCCCACAGCCCAGCACCCGGGCAGGAATACCGGGAGGCCTCAGCCAATCGGCGTCCTCGTCTCATTCTCCCAGATCCCGCATCGTAAGACGAGCTCTGTGAATGGACGGAAGCCCGCCAGCCAATCGGGGCTTCACTTCTCCTACCGGAAGCCGGATGCTGTTGCCCTGGTAACCTCGAAGACGCGGCCGTTTGAAAGTGCGTCCCGTGGAGAGAAGATGGCGCCGCCCGCAGCCTGTGCTGTGAGAAGGAGCCCGGAGCGGGGGAGACACAGCCGGCTGGTGGTGAACCAGGCCGTGCTGGCCGAGAGGAACCCGGGGGCCGTGGCTGCTGTGGGGGCTTGGATAGAGGCGGCTGAGAGAGGAGGCTCCAGCAGGGCCCTGGTGAGTGCTGAAGGAGGGCCCTAGGGAGGGCGATACTATACTGGAGTTTGTTATTGAGAGCGAGTCAGCACTGGAGTACTATAATATTAACATTGAGAGAAGAACACCTCTGGTGAGGCTGACTCCAATACTAATCCTGACAGTGTGTGACCGGTACCCCCGAGGACTCTGCGCTCAGGCCGGCGGTCACACTCTCAGGCCGGCGGTCACACTTTGATGTCATGGCGTCTAATGCTGCGCCAATAGCCCTGCATTGTATGGGAGGATGGCGAGAGGCCTGAGAACGCAGAGAGAAGAGGCTGTCGGCTGTCCGGAGGGCCAGCAATAAGGTGGGAATGCTGCCGGCAGTCCTATTATTGCAGCGCATTACAATGCATCACAACGTGCCGCTGCGCATGGAGCTGAATGAAGGTCATGTGATGTGCTGTAATAATGCAGCATGCATGTACAATGCACACCCTCATGCATTATGTGCACCATTACGTGCGTTTATTGGTATGAGCCGGCCCTAAAGACGCCATTAAAGGAGTTCAAGAAAGTGAACCACCACCACCCCACGTACTCTGTGGTTTCTCCCGCTGACCTAAATATTATCTCAGAGGACCCCGGTCAGGTTTATAATGCATCTCGCCCCCGCTAGGCAGATTCACTCTCCTCTAGGTGTCGTGGTGACCATCGCCATGGAGACGGAGAGTGATGGTAAAAAGAAATTGGCGCTTTACACTAGGGCTGCAACAACTAATCGACATAAGTTGTCAACTTTTTCAATAATCGATTTAATCGGCTTCCGATCAGTTGGCCCTGTTCACAGCTCCACACGCTGTGCACCGCACCTCCTCCCCACCTCACACTCGCCGCTGCCAGACCCGCTCGCATCCACGCTCCACACAGCGCACCTCCTCCCCACCTCACACTC